CAGGGCCCTAGGGTGCAGGGCGAGGGAGGCCTGGGAGCTGGGAGACATCCTCTGGAAGCCTGAGGAGAGGAGGTTCCTGGGTCGCTTTTACCCACCTCAACCTTTCCTTTTGGCCTCAGTGAGGCCCCCAAGGGAGAGGAGGCTCCCCAGCCAATCCCACGCTGCTAGACCTCACCTCTCTGCCCCAATATATGGCCCCTCAAGCTGGGGACTGAGCCTGGGCTCCTTGGGGTCTCAGGGGAGGCTCCACGCCAACTAGGCCACCATCATCATAGGTCTGGCCCAAGGCTGGTGGGATGTGAAAGCTGAGCCTTGGTGGACGTCCCTTCAGCATGGGCCCAGCTGACTTGACCCGCTCCTGGGGGCACCTCCTTTCTATCCACTTTGGGAGCAGGTTTCCAGGATTCTTCGGCGTTGGGCATCGCCTATACAGGAGCCATGCCCCCTCAGGCTCTCTCCGCAGAGAGGCTGGGGACCAGAGTTGGTGGGAGGCGGGTCGGGAGCGGGGGAGGCTGGCAGGTAACCGCGCGCGGCGGCTTGTCCCGGTGCAGGCGGCAGACGGCGGAGGAGCGCGAGGCCGAAAGGCAGCAGGCGAACCGCATCCTCCTGCAGCTGCAGCAGGAGGCCTTCCAGAAGAGCCTGGCGCAGCCGCTGCCCGCCGACCCGCTGTGCGTGCACAACTCGTCGCTCTTCGCTCTGCAGAACCTGCAGCCGTGGTCCGACGACTCCAAGATCACCAGCGTCACGTCCGTGGCGTCGGCCTGCGAGTGAGCCTGCGCTCTGTCCAGAGGGACCCTGGGCCCAGAGCCAGGACTCTTCTTTGCCCCTCCTGTCGTGGACTGCACACTGGAGGCCCGCCGCGCCCTTCCGCACTGACCCACGTCCTCCCTCCAGCGCGCTCACTCCTCTGTGGAAGTGGAGAGAAGCGTGGGGCAGAACTTGAGAATCCTTCCCTGGTGCCTGGGCAGCTGCGCGGCAGCCAGAGCTGCTGGAATCCTCCTCCGTTGGCTTCTGTTTTATTTCATTCAGATTTTAAACGTCGGCCTAGGGAAGTGGCGGGGAGGGTGTTGGAAGAAGAGCCCCTCGGGTCCCCAGGCTGCCATCTGAACTCAACCTAGGGAAACCCCCTATCTGTGCCCAACTGGCCTTCACACACACACACACACACACACACACACACACAGGCCCACATAGAGTCAATGAAACGGTGGTCTCTCCCTTGTTACCCTAGAGCCACATCCAACAGGGGACATGACAGAGGGACTGTAACAAGGGGGGCACTGGTAGTCACACCCTGCCTCAATAACAGGCCCTAGTGAGGGGGTCACCCAGACTCCCTCTGGTTAGCATGGTTCCCAACCCCTCCAAAAACAAGGCCAGTCACACCTTGATGACATCCCACCATAGGAGCCAAACAAAGTCACTTGCCTTCCCGGCCCCACCACACAGCCCCACCACACCCAGTATGCACAGGCGGGGTTTCACACCAGCTCACAAACTCAGCCCATTTCTCCAGATCCTGTTCATAGGGCGGGGGCATTAAGTTATGCACTTATAAGGTGTTTTCTGTGTAACCATTTTATAAAGTGCTTGTGTAATTTATGTGAAACAAATAAAACCCTCCGGATCCAGAGTCAGGGCTGCCTGCTCTTCTCAGAGCCCCAGCACCTTGAAGCTGCTCCCATTTGCTGCTGGCTGGTGTTGCCAGATAGCAACTTGTATTTGGACTTGGGGACCCTGGGAAGTAGAACCTCAGAGTCTGGAGAGAGAAAAGTAGAGGGACAGACTGAGCACAGAACAGAAGGAGGAAGGAGAGCCAGGTCACTTCTATGGCTAGAGAAGATGTGATGTAAGGTTGTGTGTGTGTGTGTGTGTGTGTGTGTGTGTGTGTGTGTGTGCGCGCGCGCGCCCGCGGGCGAGTATATTGTGAGTTTGTGATCAGGTGGAGGTCAGGCCCTTACTAATAGTGGATGTTTGTAATGGTGTTTAAGTGTGTAATTGTTTTTGCAATTGTATGTAAATGTGTAAATGTCTTTGCATAAACTGCAAACAAACTACCATTTATGCATGGATTTGTAGTGGTGGGAGGTACAAATCTTGTACGAATGTGAATGTGATTGTGACCCTTTGGACAAGAGTGTGGTCACCTCTCCTTGGTAAAGGGTATATGAATCATGTGTTCATTTGGGAGAGGGTATATTAGTCTCTCCTTGTGAATCTATTTTTCTGTTACTATTTGCGTGCGTATTATCTATGCCGGATGTCCATGCAGTTGTGTGTGTGTGCACGGTGTGTATTTTAAGGGTGGATACTTGTGTGGTGAGTGGGGAATCATTGTGGAAGATTGTCCCTTGGTGGCAGGGTCCTCCGTAAGTGAGGGTAATTGTGCGTTCAAGCTCTACGTGGTGGTGAGGTGATAGTGTGTGAAGGTACATTATGGGGGACCAACATCTGCCAGAAGTTCTGGGAATCTAAGCCTGTTGCAGCAGGCTGTGGGCTGAGGCCCAGGGAGTCAGGAACTGAGACTGGATTCTGTG